TTTGTTGGGACACTTTTTTTTTATTATTGATTCAATCTCATTACTCATTATTGGTTTGTTCAGGTTTTCTAGTTCTTTCTGATTCAATCTTGGTAGGTTTTACATGTCCAAGAATTTATCCTTTTCCTCTAGGTTTTCAAATTTGTTAATGTATAATTGTTCAAAACAATCTCTAACAACTCTTTGTATTTCTTTGGTATCTATTGTAATGTCTCCTTTTTCAGTTCTAATTTTATTTATCTGAGCATTCTTTGCTTTTTCTTACTCTAGTTACTAAGTGACTAAACCACTTAGTCTATTGGTTTATTGATTTTGTTTATCTTTTTGAAGAACCAACTTTTTCTGTAGTTCTGATGTGATCTTTATTATTTATTTCCTTATACTATTTTTCAGTTTGGTTTGCTCTTGTTTTTATAGTTTCTTTTTTCTTTTTAATTTTTGTGGCTACATGGTAGGTGTATATATGGGTACATGAGATGTTTTGATACAGGCATACAATGTGAAATAAGCACACCATGGAGAATGGGGTATCCATCCCCTCAAGCATTTATTCTTCATGTTACAAACAATCCAATTACACTCTTTTCATTATTAAAAAATGTACAATTAAGTTATTATTGACTATAGTCACCCTGTTGTGTGATCAAATATTAGGTCTTATTCTTTCTAATGAATTTGTGTATCTATTAACCATCCCCACCTCCCCCACAGCCCCCCACCCTGACTACCTTTCCCAGCCTCTGACAACCATTTTTCCACTCTTTATGCCTGTAAGTTCAATCATTTTGATTTTTAGATTCCACAAATAAGTGAGGACATGTGATGTTTGTCTTTCTGTACCTGGCTTCTTTCACTTAACCTCCTTAATGACCTTCAGTTCAATGCATGTTGTTGCATGACGGGATCTCATTCTTTTTTATGGCTAAAGAATACTCCATCGTATATATGTACCACATTGTCTGTATCTATTTATCTGTCGATGGGCACTTTGGTTGCTTCCAAATCTTGGCTATTGTGAACAGTGCTGCAGCAAACATAGGAGTGCAGGTATCTCTTTGATACACTGATTTCCTTCCTTTGGGGTATATACCCAGCAATTGGATTGCTGGATCATATGGTAGCTCGATTTTTAGTTTTCTGAGGAACCTCCAAACTTCTCCATAGTGGTTGTACTAATTTACATTCCTACCAACAGTGTACAAAGGTTCCCTTTTCTCCACATCCTCACAAGCATTTGTTATTGCTTGCCTTTTGGATATAAGCCATATTAACTGGGGTGAGAAGATAATCTCATTGTAGTTTTTAAATATATTTTTTATTTTAACTTTTGTTTTAAGTTCAGGGGTACATGTGTAGTTTATTAAATAGGTAAACTTGTGTCATAGGGGTTTGTTGACTATTTCATCACCCAGGTATTAAGCCTCGTATCCATTAGTTATTTTTCTGATCCTTTCCCTGCTACCATCCTCTGCCCTCCAATAGGCCCCAGTGTCTATTGCTCCCCTCTATGTGTCCATGTGTTCTCATCGTTTATCTCTGACTTATAAGTGAGAACACGTGGCATTGGGTTTTCTGTTATTGTGTTAGTTTGCTAAGGGCAATGGCCTCCAGCTCTGTATATGTTCCTGCAAAGGACATGATCTCATTAATTTTTATGGCTGCATAGTATTCCATGGTGTATATGGACCACATTTTCTTTATCCAATCTGTCATTGATGGACATTTAGGTTGATTGCATGTCTTTGCTATTGTGAGTAGTGCTGAAATGAACATATGTGTACATGTGTCTTTATGTTAGAATGATTTATATTCCTTTGAGTATATATCCAGTGATGGGACTGCTGGGTTGAGTGGTATTTCTGTTTTTCGGTCTTTGAGGAATCACCACACTGTTTTCCACAATGGTTGAACTAATTTACATTCCCAAAAACAGCTTGTAAGCATTCCCTTTTCTCTGCAACCTCACCGGCATCTGTTATTTTTTGACTTTTTAATAATAACCATTCTGACTGGTGTGGGATGACATATTATTGTGGTTTTGATTTACATTTCTTTAGTGATCAGTGATGTTGAGCTTTTTTGTATGCTTGTTGGCTGCATGTATGTCTCTTTTGAGACAGTTTTGATTTGCATTTCTCTGATGATCAATAACATTGAGCACCTTTTCATATGCCTGTTTGTCACATGTTTGTCTTATTTTGAGAAATGTGTATTCAAATCTTTGTTCCATCTTTTAATCAGATTATTAGATTTTTTTTTTTCCTATAGTTGTTTGAGCTTCTTAAATATTTTGTTTATTAATCCCTTGTCAGATGGGTAGTTTGCAAGTATTTTCTCCCATTCTGTGGGTTGTCTCTTCACTTTGTTGATTGTATTCTTTGTTGTGCAGAAGTTTTTCAAGTTCATGTAATCCCATTTGTCCATTTTTGCTTTGGTTGTCTGTACTTTTGGTGTATTGCTGAAGAAGTTTTTGCCCAGGCAAATGTCTTAGAGATTTTCCCTGATGTTTTCTTGTAGTAGTTTCATAGTTTGATGTCTTAGCCTTTTTTCCCTAATGTTTTCTGGTAGTAGTTTTATAGTTTGATGTCTTATATTTAAGTGTTTAATCCATTTTAATTTGACTTTTGTACATGGTGAGAGATAGGGGTCTTAGTTTCATTCTTCTGGGTATGGATATCTAGTTTTCCCGGTGCCATTTATTTATGTGCCTGTCTTTTTCCCAGTGTATGTTCTTGGCACCTTTGTCAAAAATGAGTTCACTGTAGGTGTGTGGATTTGTTTCTGAGTTCCCTATTCTGTTACTTTGGTCTATGTGTCTGTTTTTATGCCAGTACCATGCTGTTTGGTTACTGTAGCTCTGTAGTATAATTTGAAGTCAGGTAATGTGATTCTTCCAGTTTTGTTCTTTTTGCTTAGGATAGCTTTGGCTATTCTGCGTCTTTTATGGTTCCATACAAATTTTAGGATTTTTCTCTATTTCTGCGAAGACTATAATAGGTATTTTGGTAGGGATTGCATTGAATCTGTAGATTGCTTTGGGTAGTATGGACACTTTAATAATGTTGATTCTTCCAATACATGAACATGGAATATTTTTCTATTTTTTTGGTGTACTCTTCAATTTCTTTCAATAGTGTCTCATAGTTTTCATTATAGAGGTCTTTCACTTCTTTGGTTAAGTTAATTCTTAGGTATTTAAGTTTATGTGTGGCTACTGTAAATGGGATTACTTTTAAATTTCTTTTGCAGATTGTTCACTGTTGGCATATAGAAATGCTACTGATTTTTCTATGTTGATTTTGTGGCCTGCAACTTTACTGAATTCGTGTATTAATTCTAATAGTTTTCTTGTGTAGTCTTTAGATTTTTCCTAATATAAGGCAGAGGAGCCTCACTCCATAGCTACCACCACCCCAGGCCATGGGGAGTACTGTCTGCGCATGTTCCCTTAAGGCCCAAGGGCACTTTGGGAAGCTTGCAATGAATGCTGTCATATAAGAGAAAAAGTGCCTTCCTTTACTCTGATCCCATCTGCATTCTATCTGTCATAAATCTCTTAAAGTATCTGGCACGTGGATTATACCTATGCCTTTGATTCAGAGTTTTCCCTATATTTATGTTCTTTGATGACTTCAAAAGGGTCTGGTAGTGGAAAGGGAGTTAAGGGCTTGTGCTCACACATGCAAGTCCCACAATAAGACGTTATTCCATAATAGTTTCTAAGAATTATTAAGTACTTTGTGTGTTCTAGGCAGTGTTCTAAGTCCTTTCCGGAAGTCCTGTGAAACAGGTTCTATTATTGGCTTCACTTTACAAATTAGGAAACTGAGACAGAGAGAGGGTAAGTAACTTGTCTGGTGCCACACAGCTAATACATGGTGGTGTAGGGATTTACAACTAGACAGTCTGACTTCAGAGTGGTTTTTAACCAGTACTTGTACATCTTTAAACATATGTAAGCGTGGATATATACATATATACATACACATATATGTATATATAATATATATGCTTAATTCCATCAGTCTCTGTCACATTTATTCTGAGCTGGGAGTTGTCCTTGCATTTTAAGATGTTGTCAAATTTTAAGTTTATTTCTTAGAGGCCTCCTGACTTTTCACACCTCCAAGCTCTTGAGAGCTGAGGGCTGCTTTGCTCTGGCCTCCACATGCTGGGAGCACTTGCTGGACTCCTCTGCACCACTCAACACCGTTGGCCATTCTTTCCTTCCTGAGGCTTTCATGGCACCATACCCCCGAATTTTCCTCATTAATCTATAATTGCTCTTTCTCAAGATACTTCACTGACTTATCTCTTAGTTCTTTGAATCTTAGGATTCTCTAGAGTTTTGTACTTTTCTCAACACTTGCAACCTAGATAGTTTCATCTACTCTTACGGTTTTGACTGCCATCTCTAAGCTGCTAAATTCCCCCAAATTATATCTCATTTGAGTCCAGGCCCAGATATCTTGTTGCCTTCTGAACATCTTCTCTTTAAATTCAACAATTATTCTAAATTTTAATATCACATTGTTTATTGCATCCATCTGATGAGTTTCTAATCCTGGATAAATCCAAATGTCCTTTCTATGCATGCCTCTATCTGAGTAGCTTTTCTGGTCACAGACCTCAATTGAGCCCTTAATGCTGCTCCACAAGGCAATTGTTTCTCTGTTCACCCTGTTCTCCTGCTCGTTACAAGGAATATTTCAAACCTCTCTCTTCTCCGCAAACCTCCAGCTCAGAAGATTTATGTAATAAATGCAACAAGCATTTGTTAATTCCTTGCTATATCTCCTCCTAATTCACAGAGAACTCAAGCCATCGACTAGAAACTTCTTCAAAATCTGGTCTGATTTTTCATCTGTTGGGGAAATGTGTTCTGACTGCCCAGCTAGACTCTAATAGCAACTGTTGTGTTATGCTTCTCTTCCTCTCTGGACTCTAGTTTCAGTTGATATTGTTCTGCATTTCTCACCACCTTGGCTTATTTCTTGCAGCTGATGTAGAAGGCCAATCCTTAAGACACCGAGACAAGCGACTTAGTTTAAATTTGGTAAGTTCAACACTCAGGTTCTTTTACGCATCAATTTTACCAAAATTAGCCTGATCTATATATATTCCCTTGAAATCTTTAAGATTCAACACTCTGAGTGTCTGAGGACTCTTCCAGTCTCCCCCTGAAGACTTGAACTTGCTTGAGAACTACAGGACTTGCTCAACTTGGTATAGCTACTTAAGGCATCACTTTATACTTAAAGTATTTGCATAAATTCATAACCCTCTATCTTCCAGTGTCAGATCTTGGAGAGTTATCACCTGTACTAAAACGATAAGTCCAGAGGCAGAACTTGAGCTAGAGGCTTGTCTGACTTTGCTGAGGTAGTTCAGAGTTATACTTGGATAGTTTGGAACTGAAACCATATGTGCAGCTTTGGCTGCCCTCTGATAGCCGTTTCCATGACTGGTCTGTGGTTCCCAATCTGCATCTATTCTTTTGCAGCCATGCAGGTTCTCCCCAATGTACCCCACAGCTTCAGCCAGTATCGAAGACAGCTATGTGCCCATGAGCCCCCAGGCTGGTGCCTCTGGTCTTGGACCCCACTGCAGCCCTGATGACTACATTCCAATGAACTCAGGAAGCATCTCAAGCCAGTTGCCTGAGCTACCTGCAGACCTGGAACCTCCCCCAGTGAATAGAGATCTCAAGCCTCAGAGGAAACGTAAGCACTTGACCAGACCTGCTGTATAGGGGGAGGGGAGCAAGGTTCCAGTGGTTGCATAGAAAAGATTTCTGTAAAGGAAGACCTAGAGAAACCATCTCAGAGGGCTGGAAAGTATAAGGTCAGGAAAGAAGTGGCTGGGATGGAATAGGAAGGGCTAGGGCACCTTGCTGCCTCAGATTGTCATGATAATAGGAGTTGGGGGACTTACAGGCACTGTGGCCTTGCAAATACAGCTGACAAAGTCAAGTTCATTCCAGAGGGCTCATCTTTGGCTGTTTCCCTAACAAGCCCAGGAATAAGTGATGGTGGATTAGAATGGAATTCCACCTGGCATCTCCCCATTAGACAGCACTTGAATGTAATCATAGTGCCAGCCTCTGTAAAGCAGTCAGGAATTGCCTTTGACACCAATTCCTGAAGGTCAGACCCAGTCACGTGCAGTTTATCACTCATCGTTCTGTGCATGCCCATCAGCAGAGGTATTCGGGGTAGAAGAGGATTTTGGCAATAATTAGGCTGACTCCTCTGTGCAGAGGGTGCCTTGCAGCTTCTGTCTTACTCCCAGGCAGCTTCTCTGGTCTGTTGAGCAGCATGGACAGACAGGGAGATAGATAGGAAAAGAGGGAAAGAGGAAGAGCAGGTCAGAGTGACTTAGTAACTTCATTCTTACTCATCTTGCTCTTCCCAGTTGGCTGTGTGATTACAAGGGAGCATTGGTAGAATGACTGATCTCTTGTCCATTCCGACTTCTCTTTGCTCTTTAGAAAGCAAAAAAAGTCACTTCAGGTGGCTGTGCCCAAAGCTGCCAACTAAGACCACTACTCATGCCTGGTCTACTCCAGGCGTATTCCCTTAAATTTCAGTCAAACTACATTTATACATTTACAATGCATGTGCTGCATATGTAGTGCTGTGGTAGGCACTGAGTGGGATACAAAGATGAGGAAGCAAGGAGGCTTTTTCAGTCTGAGGGGGAGGAAGATATGTAAAATCCACCTGGACCATAAAATAGAATTATGAAATCGGTGCTAAGTAGGAGAACAGATCCTGTCTTATGAGGTTCAGAGGAAATAGCCATTAATTCTGGTCAGAAACAACAACAGAATTTTCTGTGATGTTGGAAATAATGACTATTGAACCCTTGAAATTTGGCTAATGTGACTGAGGAACTACATTTTAAATTGTATTTAATTTTAATAAATTTACATATATGTGTAAATGGGCACGTGTGGCTAGTTGTCACGACAATGGACAGCGCAGCTCTGCAGGACCTTGTCATAGGCAACAGAAGATGTCTGATAGACTCAGGGTTGGAGATTTAGTGAGTGGATGCAAAGGTGGATACCTGGCCAGGACTAACTCAGGAAGATGGGCCACTGAGGTGGAATAAGGGTTGGGGCAGATACCAAGTGCTTCTCTAGGTGCCGAGGCTACTGCAGTGAACAGACCAGATACACCCCTGTTCTCCTGGAGCACAGTTTAGGCCCAGGTAAATCATAGATGAGTGTATTATCACAAACTGGGGCTGTGCTGTGAAGGGTAAGTACAAGAACTTGAGAGCCCAGGCTGTGGGGCCTGATCTTGTCTGGAGGCAAAGAGATGGGGAAGAATGTTCTAGGCAGAAGGATCATCAGGTGGACAATGGATTGTAGGTGGGGAAGACTAGGACCTGGGTGATCATCTCTGCCTGTGATAAGAAAGGTAACATTTCCACTTCAGACACATTGGGTGTGAGGTAATAGGTGTTGCAATTCCACAAGGTCAGAGACTTTCATCTGCTTTGTTCATCCTGTGCCTTTGACACCTAGAAGCACGCGTGATATACAGAGACTTCTTAATAATGCCTTGCCACGTTGTTAACCTCCAGCAGGTAATATGACCATTTGCTCAGTATTTGTCTTTACTCCCAGTGAGGCAGGGGAGAGGAGGACAGTAAAATTCGCACTCATCATCGGTGCTGCCTGTTAGTAAATGTGAATTTGGTGTGCTGGGAAAGTGAAATGTCATAGTTTTATAGCCTTTAGATTCTGGCCTTGACCTCCTGGATGTTGCACACTGTCTTGTAGCACGGCCACCTCCTCTGGACCTGAGAAACCTCTCCACTATCCGGGAGCATGCATCTCTTACCAGGACCCGCACTGTGCCTTGGTAAGACTGATTGCTCAAAAGAGCCTCATCCAGCACAAACATGCCTGGTGTGTGTTAGGCCTCTGATTAAATGTAGTTGAAGCCCATTTGATCTAGTTTAAGCCAAAGGAGGGGTGAGGTTTATTATCGAGAGCAAGAGCTGTTTTATAGATCACAAAGGAAGGAATATGACTGGGTCTCCCAGGACCCTGGAATCAGGAACTAGTGTGCTGTCGGGAACCCAAGGAATCTGCTCACTTCTGCTTCACTCTTCACATCTGTGCATTTCTTTGTCTTTGCAGTATTCTTTTCTCTGTTGCACAAACCCCATGGTCAAAGATAGCTGTACCATACCCCCTGAACTTGTTTACATGCTACAACTGCAGTACCAACAGATGGGCTCTGAATTCAGATTTCCTGGGGAGAGAGAATTGTGTTCCCCAGTCTCAGTGGAACTGGCTATGGCCCAAGCCCAACTTTGTGAATGGGGTAGGACAAGGGAGTTCCCAGGTTCATGGGCTGGGTAGACAAACTTCAAAATGTAGTTGCACCCTTTCAACTCACCTTTTAGAAGTTGCCTATTTAGTCCTGAGCGTGGCTCAGGAGTTTCTCGGTTCACTCTAAATGCCACAAAACACAATTGCATTGTAAAGCAGAATTCTGCAATGAGCTGTATTTCCAGCCAAGACTGTGACTCAGCTCATGCTTCTGACTCAGAAGAAGGATGGAAGTTGATTAGCGGTGTTGTGTCCTATCAGAGGAATGGCCATACGTCCTCACTTTTCCTTACATTGAATAGAAACAAGAAGGCCCCAAAGGAGTTTATTTTTTTCTAAATGATATGATGCCCTCGTCCATTTAGAAAGCTCATGAACTGTGTCACATAGAGGGCCTGAGAAAAAGCAGCCTTTGTGAATTGGGAGCCATTTGCCCCAAAGTGGAGCAGAAACTGTTGGGCATTTTCTGCGTCTTCAGGAATTGCTTTGGCCGGAAGGAAGTTGTGTCTGGAAGAGGAGGACTGAAACCCCATGAGGGCCATGTTAGTTCCTGGCTGGCTTTCAGAGCAGCTGTAAGACATTGCTTTGACCTCATCTATATTTTTATTCTTAGCAGTCGAACCAGCTTTCTCTCTCCAGAAAGAAATGGTATTAATTCTGCAAGATTTTTTGCTAATCCTGTTTCCAGAGAAGAGGAAGAAAGCTACATCGAAATGGTAATCTTATATTTTTCACACTCTTCTTATCCTTCACCCCAACCTATATTCTTATGAGCTCATTAAAAAGGAAACACAGCCTTCAGTAAGCCCTGTGCAATTTTAAAACAACCACTTGATCGTAAAACCAGGCCATAAGCTTTTCTAGACTTGGAACAAATCAATTTGGAGTTAGCTTTTTTTCTTGCAACATTCGACTCCTCATACCATTTTGAGATTGCAGTATTTCAAGATAGCCCAGGGCTGAGGCTTGCTTAATTTGAAAATGGAAATGCCAGCAATTCTTTTCACCGAGGCTGTGATGTCCTGTTTGACCTCAATAGGTTTGTAGTTCTCTGGATGTCCAGAGTTTAAATTGTAAAAACTCAACATATTGCATGTTCCCTTCCACCAGAACACCTGGTGGCCCTGTCCTGACTGTTTCTGAACCTTCCTGGAGGATGAATCACTTAGAGTCCCATTGGGAAAGGTACAGTGCCCTGGACTGTGAGTGTGTATTAGCTTCTGGAAGACTCCTATTATGGGATCTTTCTATAGACCTGAGTGGATGCAGACTTGATTAACCATTCGCAGTTAAAGAGTCCTGATGTTTCCCTTCTAGCCTGTTGTTCCTTCTATTCTCTTCATCTTGGATGCTATTGAGAACATGGGCTTTTGAAGATGGAGAGGGACTTTTAGCACCTCTGGCAATTAGAAGATACTTTAGCCATGACAGTGCCTGTTCTGCAATTTAGAAATGTAGGGAACTCAAGAGACAGCTTCTGTTCGAACTGTGAAATTTTGAAGAGATCTTAGAAGGACAGTGTTCAAGGCACTGTGACAATATACTCTTGAGAAGACATTTCTGCCTTCCTATATGCAAGGATAATCAGCAACTGAAAATCTAAAAATAGTAATCTCCAGTTAAGCTATTATTAAATGCTTCATTTTGCCCTCTTATTTTATTCAAATTGTGCTGTAAGTGCACTTAACCATATGCAGATGCAAAGTGACTCATACACAAATCTGTTACGGTCTTCCCAATATTTCTCACACTTAGTAATGGCCCTTGGGAAATTTCTAGAAGAAAACACTCTTATAAAGTGATGCTTAACAGCTGTGCTCTGTCTCCAGAGAACAGAAAAAGGAAGTGAATCTAAAACCCAATGGAAGCAAGTGCAGAGTCATTCCAGATACCAACAGTTCATTTCTGATCTTTGATGTTGTGAGAAAGATCAGTGTTTCATTAACAACAAAGTTAAGAATCGTTTGTTTGCCTAGGTTTATGATCACTGATCAATGACTGTCTCTGTGTATTAGTAGGCAACATGACACAGCAGATTAAGAACCCAGAACACTGGCTGATAGTAGCTATGATCTTGGGAACTGTCATATAAAAATGTTTAAAGGCTATCCCATCTTGTTCAATTGTGTTTTTTTAACTTTAGTAATAAGACAGTTTCATATGACTTTGATTTACATTATTTCACTTGTGCCACATAACAGCCCAATATGGTAGTCAAACCTAGTATGATTTGACTTTGATTTTGCACAAAAGTATATATGTTAAGTTGTTTTTTTTTTTCTCTATAAGGGCAAGTTCTGATCTGAATGTAGTAATTAAGGCCAGGGGCTGAAACACGGTTTTGCTTTACTGAAATACAAGTTTTGCCATATATTCTTCTTTAAATGTTTGTGAAATTATAGAAAATTTAGAAGAATAAACATAATTTTAATATATGGGATTTCTTCTCTATCACTTTTTCAAGCCCTTTAGTTTCAATAGTTTTGTAAGGCTTTTATAGTAGAGTTCTAGACTCTTAAATCTCACATTAATTTTGTATTATGGTATTACATTACTTTTAAGTTTTTAGATCATTTTTACATCATACAGTGAAATTGACTTTCTCTTGGTGTGCAGTTCTACGAGTTTGAGCATATATAGAGATTTGTGTAACCACCACCGTGATCAGAATACACAACAGTTCCAAAATCCCTCATGCTACCTCTTTACAGCCACATCCTCCCTTCTCCTGTAACCCCTAGCAACCACTGATCTGTTCTTCATGACTATAGTATTGTCCTTTCAAGAATGCCACAAAAATAGAATCATACAGTACCTTTTAAAACTGGCTTCTTTCACTCAGAATGGTTTTTTTGAAATTCATCCATTGTTACATGTATTAATAGCTCCTTCCATTTTATTGCTGAGCAGCGTTCAAGCATATGGATGTGTCACATCTTGTTTGTCCCCTCACCCATGGAATGACATTTGGATTTTTTTTCAAGTTTTTAGGCAATTAGAACTGTTAGAAGCTTTCTTTTGCAGTTTTCAAAAAATACTTTTCTTGTAGTAAAGTTCTACTTTCTGTCTCTATGACCTTACCTAATTCTAGGTACCTCATGTAAGTGGAGTCATACAATATTTGTCCTTTTGTGTTTGTCTTCTTTCATTTCGTCTAGTGTTTTCAAGATTCATCCACATTGTAGGATATATCAGAATTTCATTTCTTTTTAAGGCTGAGGAATATTTAACTGTATAGACTACATTTTGTTCATCCATTCATCTGCTAATGGGCATTTAGGGTTGTTCCTACCATTGTCTATTATGAATAGTGCTGCTATAAACATTGGCATACAAGTGTATGTTTGACTTCCTGCTTTCAATTTGTTTGTATATATATGTAGAAGTGGAATTTCTGGATCATATGGTAATTCTATACTTAACTTTTTAAGGAGCTACCAAACTTGTTTTCCACAGTGACTGCACCATTTTACATTACTGCCAGTAATGCACAAGGGTTCCAATTTCTCCACATCCTCACTAACACTTTTTATTTATCTTTTTTTTTTTTTTTTTTTTTTTTTTTTCCTGGAGACACAGGTCCTCTCTATAATTGAGCCAGGACTGGAAGTGGCAGTGGCAACAGTACTACAGGTATACTGCAACCTCCACCTCCCAGGTTCAAGCGATCCTCCTAACTCAGTCTCCCAAGTAGCTGGAATTACAGGCGTGTACCACCATGCCCGGCTAATTTTTGTATTTTTAGTAGAGATGGGGTTTCACCATGTTGGCAAAGCTGATCTCAAACTCCAGACCTCATGTGATCTGCCTGCCTTGGACTCCCAAAGTGCTGGGATTATAGGCGTGAGCCATCACGCCTGACCTATTTATCATTTTTTTTTTTTTTTGAGAGGGAGTCTCGCTCTGTCGCCCAGGCTGGGATGCAGTGGCCGGATCTCAGCTCACTGCAAGCTCCGCCTCCCGGGTTTACGCCATTCTCCTGCCTCAGCCTCCCGAGTAACTGGGACTACAGGCGCCCGCCACCTCGCCCGGCTAGTTATTTTTTGTATTTTTTAGTTGAGATGGGGTTTCACCTTGTTAGCCAGGATGGTCTCGATCTCCTGACCTCGTGATCCGCCCGTCTCGGCCTCCCAAAGTGCTGGGATTACAGGCTTGAGCCACCGCGCCCGGCCTATCATTTTTTATAATAGATATCCTAATGAGTGTGAATTGGTATCTCATTGTGGTTTTCATATGCATTTCCCTAATGATTAATGAACCTCTTTTTATCTACTTATTGGCCATTTATATATCTTCTTTGGAGAATTGTCTGTTCAAGTCCTTTGCATATTTTAAAGTTAGATTGTTTCTTTTTTTGTTGTTGTTTAGTTATAGGAATTTTTTTAATGTATTCTGGATGTTAACCGCTTATCAGATACATGATTTCCAAATATTTTCTCTCATTCTGTGGGTTCTCTTTTCACTCTCTTGATAGTGTCCTTTGATGCACAGAAGTTTTTGATTTCAAAATTTTCTTTCCTTTTATTGCCTTGCTTTTGGTGCCATATCCATGAAATGGGATGCCAAATCCAATGTCATGAAGATTGTCTCCTATGTTTTCTTCTAAAGGTTTTATAGTTTTAGCTCTTATGTTTAGATCTTTGATCTTTTTTGAGTTAGTTTTTATATATGGTATAAGGTTAGAGTCCAACATCATTCTTTTGCTTGTGGACATTCAGTTTTCCCAGCACCATTTGTTGGAAAGACTGGACTATCCTTTCCATGTCGAATGGTCCTGGCGCTGTCATTGAAAATCTCATTGAAAATCAACATATGCAAGGATTTATTTCTTGGTCTATATGTCTGTCCTTATGCCAGTACCATACTGTTTTGATTAGTGTAGCTTTGTAGTAAGTTTTGAAATCAGAAAGTATGAGTCTTCCAACTTTGTTCTTCTTTTTTATGATTGATTTGTCATTTAAGGGTCCCTTAATATTACATGTGAACTTTAAGGACAGGGTTTTTTATTTCTGCAAAAAAAATGCCATTGGAATTCTGATGGGGAATGCTTTGAATCTGCAAACTGTTTTGCATAATATTATCATATTAACAATATTAAGTCTTCCAATTCATGAACACAGATATCTTTTCATTTACTTATGTCTCCTTTACTTTCTTCTTATAGTTTTCAGTGTATAAGTCTTTGCCTCCTTGGTTAAATTTATTCCTAAGTATTTTGTTCTTTTTGATGATATTGTAAATGAAAATTTTTTAAAATTTCCTTTTATGATTGTTCACTATTAGTGTATAGAAATGCAACTGGTTTTTGAGTATTGATATTATATCCTGCAACTTTGCTGAATTTGTTTATTTTTAATTTATTATTAGTTTTTGTGTGGAATTTTTAGGGTTATCTATACATAAGGTTATATTATCAGCAAATAGAGATTACTTTACATCTCCCTTTCCAGTTTGGGTGTCTTTTCTTTCTTTTTCTCACCTGATTGCTTTGGCTAGAACTCCCAATGCTTTGTTGAATAGAAGTAGCAAAAGTGGGCATGCTTGCCTTGTTTCTGATCTTAGTGGTATTTGACAGGTTTCTGCATGGATAGACGTCTTCATTTCTCTAGAGCAGTGGTTCTCAGCCAGTGTTGATTTTGACCCTCAAGGCATATTTGGCAACGTCTTGAGACATTTTTGATTGCTACAACTTGGAGTGGAGGAGGTAGTGCTAATG